CTGCATCCAATCTCCGGGCGTTGGCTCCATGTAGAAACAGAGCTGCTTTTCATTTTCAGCCGGGTGGAGCACTCCTGTCGGGTCGTCACAACACTCTTCTGCCTGGCAAAACGACAATTGTGGCTCGGCTGTGCAGTCCAGCCTTAAGTTAACTAAGTGCTAATTGGGTGCTGCTAACCTAGGCTACCAGCTGGACCGCCCGGGTCACCTTGTTTGCCCAGGATGCCCGGCCGTGCAAGGACCACAGAAGGTCCGAGCAAAAAAAAAAAAGTGAACAACAATTATGTAATGCAGAAAAATAAACTGAACAACTTTTGCCTCAGGGTCTCATCGAAATTCTTTAACCCCCCCAAAAAAGAAAAGAAGAATTGAAAAACAATTTGTTCAGAAAAATCTGCAGTGAACGTCCACATCTCATCCCTGGACCGCACAAAGTTCCTCGGACCGGTACCGAAAAAACTGTCCGGGGGGAAGCCCTTCAATCGATACTCCTTCCTTGACGTCAGGACCTGTTTAGGAATGTCGGAGCCGACCGTGGTATTATGGTCGATCCGGTTCAACCAACCGGGTTCATCGCGGCCAATTTCTGCTTCCCACTGGACCACGACCGAAACTCCTGGCCAGGTTCATCGCGACCAATTTCTGCTTCCCACTGGACCAGGACCGAAAATCCTGACCAGGTTCATCGCGACCAATTTCTGCTTCCCACTGGACCAGGACCGAAAATCCTGGCCAGTTTTAAGGACCAGGATCTCGTCCGACTTCCGAATGCAATTGACCGTGGAATTACGGTCGATCCGGTTCAACCAACCGGGTTCATCGCGGCCAATTTCTGCATCCCACTGGACCAGGACCAAAACTCCTGGCCAGGTTCATCGCGACCAATTTCTGCCTCCTACTGGACCAGGACCGAAAATCCTGGCCAGTTTTAAGGACCAGGATCTCGTCCGACTTCCGAAATGCAATCCTCGATCTTAGTCCGGTGGGTGCTCCCCAGGAAGAGGTATGCCTGGCTCACCCTCACTCGGCAGCCTAGGAAATCTCATACCCCCATCTCTTCTCATCTGTTGTTTTCAAAGTGAGCAATTTGGGGTACCATCGCTCACCTTGCTTGGCCAGATGACCCTCAAGAGTCAAAAGACTCAAAACCATAATCTGCTAATATCATATATATGACGTAAATCAGGATGCTTTGGTTGAGAAAAATAGTAAATACACACCAAAGTTGACGAACACGATAAATGTGTCAGTGCGGACAATCAGTAGGGAAGTGATAGTCTTCGAGTAAGTGAGTTCAGTGAGAGACCAACCACCCGAGAGACCCGGGATCTCTCCAACCCAGTAGGCGAGGAATAGCGAAACGCCATCCATCCATCCATGAGCCCTATCCCGAAACCAGCCTTCGTGCTGAAATTTTGGACTCTCGGCTTCGGTCATCTGTCATCATTGTTGTGTCGATTGCATCAACGGTCGTCAGCGTCGACTTTGATAAGGCAGAGTAGTACCCTTCTATTCTGGGGGGCGTCGTTCCATTTTTTTTTATTTTTTTTTTTGTTGAAATGGATGTACCGAAGGACAATCCATAACATGATTCGTTTGGGCTAACTCTTCTTATTTTCCTGTGACATGTGTGAAGTGTGTGAAGTGTGTGACGTATGTGATGTGTGTGACTCTCTGGTCCACAAACTGTTTTCTGTGGGCTCTCCGTGACGTGTGTAATGTGACATGCGTGACATAATGTGTGTGACGTGATGTGTGCGACATTCTGGTACTCTAGCATGTTTTTTTTTTTGTTTTGTGTGTGGGCTGCTCATTCTCTTCTTTTAGGGATGGAAATGCTCTTCTCTGCCCAGAATATGCCTATTTGTACCTCTTCTCAGTGTTCCTGTGACATGTGCGATGGTGTGATGTGTGCAGCATTTTGGTCCATAAACCTGTGAAAAAAAATAAAAGTAAAAAAGGTCCATGAACCTGTGTTACCAACTGGGCCGCCCGAGTCACCTTGGTTGCTCGGGGGGGCAAGGGCGGGCAGGGAGGATCCCTGAAAAAAAAAAAAAAAAAAAGAATCCAAAAAATTTGGAAAGAAACTATGGTCTGCGGAAAAGTAAACTGAACAACGTTTGCCTCAGGGTCGGATTGTATTAAAGTCTTTTGTTTGACTATTCTTTTATTCTTTGCCCCCCCTCAAAAAATATATATAATGAGTCGGTGAAACTCCGACGAAACAGTTTGTCACAGCCCCTCGTTTGTTGTCCTCTTCTCTCTCTCTGCCTACGGTTTACCGGGCAGTTCTGTTTGTGACGTTATATATATATAAAAATTAAAAATATGTATTTTTTTATTTTTATTTTTTAATTCGATTTTGGCCCCGCCGGGCAAGTGTTCCCGGGTCACTCTCGCAAAAAAAAAAAAAAAAAAAAAAAAAAAAAAACCATAGCCATGAACTGTTTTCTGTGCGCTACTCAACTAGTAAGGTTCTCTGTGACATGTGCGTGACGTGGGATGTGTCACATTCTGGTATTTAGTACTATTTATTAAATTATTTACATGTTTTTTTTTTTGTTTTGTTTTTTTTTAACGTGTTTTTTTTCTTTTCGTGTGGGCTGTTGCTCCTTTCTCCTTCTTTTCAGGTCGGCGATGAAGTTCTTCGCCCGGAATACGCCGGTTTGTATTGGGACAGGCTGGTTTCCGCAATGATGAATTTACAGCTGGCTTTGGAGGCAGCTGGTCTAGGCCAGAACGTCAAGCTCGTCAGTCCCATGAGCCTGAGCGTATTCAACGTGACTTACCCTCCAAGCAGTGGGATGTTCAATGAATCCTACCTGCCCGTAATAAAGGGGGTGCTGGATTTTCTTAACTCGACGGGGTCCAGTTTTATGGTGAACGCGTTCCCGTTCCTCCCCACGAAGGAGTACCCGAGTTATCTCCCGCTCGCTTTGGGGGATCCGGAGGCGGAGAGAGTGCTAGACAATGGCCTGGAATACACAAATATGGTGGACATGATGGTCAACGCTGTGGCGTATGCTCTTGAGCGGGAGGGCTTCTCGACGCTCCCGATCTCGATCGGGGCGGTGGGGTGGCCGACGGAAGGAGACCTGATCGCGACTGCAGAGAATGCCGAGAAGTTTAACAACTACCTGGTCGGCAATCTGGTGAGCGGGAGGGGGACACCGAAGCGTCCCGGAGCCGCAGGGCAGATGCAAGCCTTCGTCTTCGAGCTGCTGGACGAGGACAACAAGACCGTCACCCCCGAGAACTACCTCTTCGAGTCCCACTGGGGAATCCGCTTCATGAACGGGACAGCCAAGTACCAGATCGACTTGTCCCAGGGATGGGCGGCCGCGGAAATCCCTGCTGCTGGGACTCCTGCCACCCCCCTCGCTTCCGCCGCTCCGCCGTCGGATGCGACCGCAAGCCCGGCTTCCCTTACTCCACCTATCACAACCCTACCCTCCGTCCCCGCTACTCTGCCGCCACTGCCCGGTGTTCCGGTCTCGGTCCCATCCATCCCGGCCAATGTGTCCCTGCCTACCATAGATCCGGCTTGTGTCCCTGGCAGCCGTGGAGGGTACCCGGCGAGTGCTAATCCCGCGATTGCGCAAACTGGCGGTCCCGCGACTTATTGTGTCGCAAACGACTGCGCCTCGGACGCCGTGATAGAGAGTGGGCTTCGCTGGGTCTGTGGAGGGACCGTGGGACTGGATTGCAGTCCCATTCAGCCAGGTGGACCCTGCTATGTGAACTCTACCGTGGCGCGGGCTTCCTGGGCATTTAACTTGCGTTATGTCAATCAGTCGAGAGTCAAAGGGTCATGCTATTTTGGAGGTAGCGGGATGATCATCGATTTGAACCCATCTCTCGGGACCTGTATCTATCCATGAAACTGAACTGAATACATACGTAGGCATCTGTCGCTACCTGTATTTATCTGCGAAGCTGACTGCATACATCTAGTAGTACTCAATTTAAACTCTGGTCAAACTCTCTGTGGGGCGTGAGCAAAATCACCCGCTTAGTCTTTCATACGCACACTAAAATTTTCTTACTACTTGTGCATGGACGTATTTGTGGTCAGATGCGTCCAGTTCCGGTCGTGAATGCGGTCGGATACATTTAAACCACCACCAGCACTTGGCCCAGCTATCCGCCGCCGGAAAAAAATAGAGACATTTCTAGTCGGTTGAATTTGGGAGCTCCTGTAGTGTCCCGTACATTTCCTGAAATTGAGCCTTGTATACGGGTCACGACACAAGGAAGTACTGGTGTTTTTTTTTTTTTTTTTTTAAATTTTTAATTATCATTTTTTTTTTTATAGAAAGGCTATCATTAAGAGCTACTGTGAGCATATGCCCAGTGGCATGGTTTCCTTCCTTTTTTTTTGTCTTCTCCTCAGTCAATTTAGTGGCATTAAACCTGATTAAACCGATTAGATTGACGGTGTGACACGAGGTTATTTCAACTTTGAACTCTGGTCTTGTCTTTTTTTTTTCTTTTTTTTTTTTAAGTAATTATTTTTTTTACCAACTCTGCTTGGGGCGGGCGGTGGCACTTGACTGGGTGGTAGGAGCATCTTTGTCAAGTGAGGGTCTTGCCTTTCTTTTTTTTTTTTTTTTGTCTCCAACATTGCGCAGGGTGGTACTGGACGGGGCGCCTTTTTTTTTTTTTTTTTTTTTTTTTCCGAAACTTCATGTGCAGGGGATTCTGCCTAGAGGGGTGATAAGAGCACCCCTGCTAATCAGAATCCTGTTTTTGAAGGCTCCATCTATATTGGCGGCGATCAGCACCTGCTGGAAATGGGGTTCAGCGTCCCCCCTGTATAACATCATTTTGGCCATGATCACATACTAGGTACTGTGTTTGTTTGTTTGTTTGTTTGTTTGTTTGTTTGTTTGTTTGTTTGTTTGTTTGTTTTTTTTTTTTTTTTTTTTTTTTTTTACTTCATGTACGGAAGATTCTGCTTACTAGCAGCAGCCCTGCTAATCAGAACCCTGCTTCTGAGGGGTTCATCTATTGGTGGGGAGAAGCACCTGCTGGGAATCAGGTCCAGCGCTCCCTGTATAACATCAGTTGGCCATCACATTTGTACTCGGTTTTAACTTTTAAACCGCTAGTACTTGGCCCAGCTATCGATGCCGAGCCTGGAATGCCCCTGCACACCAATTTTTGCTGAAGTGCCGGAGCACCGTTTCGATTTTTTTTGGCTGGCGCTTCCAGCCATTGTGGTCCAGTACCCCGAAGCCCTAAAGGCGCGGCGCGTTAATGGGGAAGCGCCGCGGCCGACAGCTGGGCCAAGTACTGGTGGCTCAAGTTTTAAACCCCCAGTACTTGGCCCATACGTCTACCGCGGCGCTTCCGCGTTAACACGCCACACCATGAGGGCTTCGGGGTACTGGACCGCAACGGCTAGAGGCCCCGGGCAAAGCGAAATCAAAAAGTCGCGTTGCCGATTCGTCGAAACTTTTGTCGTGCATGGTGCCCTGTGGCTCGGCATCGGCATCGATAGCTGGGCCAAGTACTGGTGGTTTAACTGCTACTGTGGTCGTTGTGAGCTGTTCCAAGTGACTTGTTTTTTGTTTTTTTTTGTTTTATCGTACCACCCTGCATCAGCTTTTGATCTGCTGTGTCTTTACCTACCCAGCGAGCGCCTGCTAGTCCTGCTTAGCCTTCCCTAGGTCTAATGATTGCTAAACCCCTGCTAAACCCCTGCTAAACCCCTGCTAAACCCCCGCTAAACCCCTGCTTAAACTGATCTGGTACACGGCCCCAGCCTTGCAAAAACGTTTTTGTCGCCACAAGCAAAACTCGGAGGCCCAGGGCCGCGTGGCGCCGGGCGCAGTTGGGAAAAAATATAAAAGTGGTGGCCTCTGAAGTGGTGCGGGTTCCACGCTGACACCCGTGGGCCTATGTATGGTGTACTAGTGCGTTAACCCTTGCTAAGCCTTTGCTAAACCCTTCCTAAACCCCTGCTAAACCCTTGCTTGATGTCTGTGTTGCTTGATGTCTGAGCTGTAGGCCATTGGCCGCCACTGGATCTGTATAGAGGTATGACATGCATGATGTTGTGACAAATCTCACCTTGCTTGCATCTATGGGTGCGGAGCAGTACCTGCTGGAAACCGGGTCCAGCGTCCCTTTAAACCAACCACCACTACGAAGCACCAGCCTTGTTGAGAAATATCTCATAATGCACGAAAATGTCAGAGGCTCGAGGCTACTGGAACCCAATGGGTGGCGGCGCGAGCCAGAAGCAAAAAAAAAAAAAAAAGGTGCGCGGCTGGTGGTTTGGCAAAGCTTGGCAAGCAGTGGAAGACCGCCAGGCCCTGGTATACTGGTGTTCTAAGGTACAACTGGTCTTGCTTTTTTTTTTTTTTTTTTTTTTTCATGAAGTCCACTGGCAGGTTGTTGTAGAGGCCAGATTCCAACCCACGGTGGTTGCCGTGGTGGGAGCGCCGGACTCAGAAAAAGTCCAGTGGCATGAGCTCTCCAGAAGGATGACACACATAAATGGAGAAATGGTCCCAGTTGTATGCATTGTGTGCTGAAAGCACAAATATAATGTCACAGAAGTCGGGTCTAGGTATCACTCCTCTTTTTTTTTTTTTTTTCCTCTTGTTCCCCCCC